ACTTTCACTTCACTTTTTGCCCACTTTTGCCCACTTTCACTCAACTTTTTTCACTTTAGCCTCACTTCTTTTCACTCTCACTTTCACTTTCGGACAGCATGTACACCCACTTTTTGATGTGAGCACCCCCTCGCATTTCGTAACATTTTTTTTCGTAAAATCACGAAAACTTTTTACAGTGTAGACTTATCCCCTTATTCCGTTTCACAGTTTACGATTCGAGCATATTTAATTAAGTTTACATGTCTCACTTGCAGTTCGAGTACCTTTTCCTCGCCGAGATGATGCCGTCTGCGTCCATTGTGCTCATCCTTTATAATGATCTTGATGAGGAGTCCAGTCTTCTATCCAGGCGTATAACTATTCCCGTGAGAGTGCGCCTCATCACTTGGGTATCATTTGATTCGAACGACGACGCAGATGTTGAAATGTCTTATGTCACGACTAGAGACACGTGCCACAGATTCTACCGGCATATGATTACGGCACGACCAAGAGGCACGACGCACGTCTTTTCCCTGCCAATGACTTGCGACATGGCCAGTGAATCACCCGACGACGACGTAGAGGGCGAACTGCTTGGCGTTTGGTCACCTGGCGCTGGCTGGTCGGCCCCGCGCGTGCCCATCTTCCCGCCGCTTTGCGCCTCCTGGCGTGGCCCACTGAAAGGAGAGCCCTTACGCGCGGAGATGTTTGACATCACCAGTGGAGGTTTAGATTCAGTAGATACGTACTTGAGTTCAGATGAGTATCAGGTATTGAAGTTGGTGAGAGAATCCTTCGGATTAAAGTTTCGGACAAGGGTTAAGTCAACAACCAAAGTCACGAAGCCGTATTGGGCAGCAGACTCGTGCCGTCTCGGCGTAGCAGCGTTCCCAGTAGATACAATAGAAGTAGACATCATGTATCACACTGAGCTAAGTTTCTTTATTTGGGAGATTGATAAATCGATTGGCGTAGTGCATGCCGGTGCAGGTAAGCCGCGCCATGTGATGTACCCCTTAACCGCAGAGTACACACCTGTAGTTTGGGCTGCCCTTGCGACCGTGGTTCTCGTTGTGGTGGCCTGTCTGTACCTCATGCGTCGCGACAAGAGTGTACAGGAGCTAGTCCTCCAGACAGTCTCGCCTCTGCTGGGGCAGCCGTTGGACGAAGGGCGGGGAGGACCACAGATAGCCATCCTGGGGGGATGGCTGCTGACCTGCGTGGTTGTGGTTGGCGCGTATCAAGGGCAGCTACTGGGCTTCATCACAGTTCCTTTTCAAAACAGAGAGATCAACTCCTGGGAGGAGTGGCTGGAAAGTGACTTAAAATTAGTAGTCGATAACCAAACTTCATTATCATCAATTACTAATCGTGGTTTATATGGTGTGACGGAGGGTAGATTATTTCGAATACATCAATTTGCAGAAGAATTTGAAAAACCACTGGGAAAAACTCAGACCGTCGTTATGCGCAAACGGCTTTTTAAAGATACAGTTTGGGATGGTACGATGCACAAGAAAGAAGTATACTTCGAACGGTTACGTGAGTTGCACACTTTTGATGTGCCAATGACCCCATCATTTCCATCTAGGTTTTTTACCACGAAGGGGTCGCCGTTCGAGGTACCCCTTCGGAAAATGTTGGGGCGTATTCACGCGGCTGGTGGTTTCCGTTCTAAACTGAAATACAAAGAAGACCCCCCACAGGTTACAGAAGACAACCCCATTACCTTAAGTAATGTAATGCCCGTCTTTGCAGTGTACATTGCCGGTAACGTTTTGGCAGGATTTACTTTCTTTCTTGAGTGTTTACAGCCAAATCAAATAAAATTCTTGGGTAACACTACCCATTCAAGAAAGGCACTGCGCAGCGCATTGTCTCAGATTCCTTACACGTGTCCTGCGTGCGCGCGTGTGTGTTCATGTGAGCGCACGCTCGTACGCACTGTTTACAGTTACCGAAGCTTTCCCGATGATATACTCTCAACTTCTAGAAATTCCCAGAGGACCCCGTTCTTAGTTTTCATGTCGTAAAACAGCTGTTGAAGGTAGTGAGCTATTAGTCGTCCATGTGTTAGAGGTGAGCATCGGGCGGTCCACCGTCCCGGTAAGGTGGCCCGCCAGTCGTCAGTCCCGGTAAGAACCGACAAGGTTCCGAAAACGACAGGCTTAACTAGCCTGGGCCAAAAAAAGAAAAATATTTTGGAACGGCGTGAAATTTGAAAGAGCATAAAAAATGACGATTTTTGGTGCAAACGCGAACGTCCTGCGATGTCGGGAAGTGCTCGCACCTCGCGGTCAAAGATTTCGGCCCGATTGGGGGTGCAAATGTGTGGTGGCGCTCGGACAGCGCTCGGGCGGCGACGCGTGGAGCTAGGTGAGCGATATTTACCACAAGAGTTCTATACGATGTGATCTTTCCAACGGTGTGTCACGGAACTTCAGGCGACATGTCGTTCGCCCTAGAGATCGACGGACGTCCGCCACAGCGCACTTAGGCCCTACAAAATTTTGGTTCACTTTTTTGACAGTTTTGTTTCGCATATTGCTTGGTGACATGCCCACAAACAAGAACCCGTCCCGTCACCCGTGCCAGCCCGCCCCACCCACAACATGTCCAAAATCGGAAAAACTGAAAAAAATTTATGCTCTTTCAAATTCCACGCCGTTCCAAAAAATCCGTGAGCTGGAGCCCAATTTTGGCCCAGGCTAGCTCGCACCGGCCATAGCTCCATCTTATTCGCTTATCGCTTTCGGAACCCTGCCGGTTCTTAACCGAAGTGGCGGGCCACCTTACCGGGACAGCGGACCGCCCTATGCTCACCTCTGCCATGTGTTTAGAAGCACAACTCTACACGTGAAATCGAGAGAGCCCTTTGGGAAATCCGAAAATCTTGGCAATATTTGTCACAACTGTTGCTCCGTAAAACCCCAGTATTGTGACACAACAGTGCGCTTGTGCAAACGTGTCTGAGTGATTGTGCGTATTCCTCGCACTTGTACTCCTCAACTTGGATGGGACTCGTGTATCTGCTTTAATTTCCATGTGTTTTCCTAGCATTTTCCGTGTATTTTGATGTAGTTGATTTTGATATTTTTCTAATATGGCATAAAGGTTGGCACCCCCTCGCACTCATCAATTATTTTTATTTTTTGCAATTGTTGTATAAAAATTAAAAAAAAAAACAAACAATTCTGTTTCCCCCTTTTTCTTTTTCCCGTATCCACAAAACGTTCCTTTTTTTTCTTTTTTGATATATTACACAAATGTTAAACCATGACTAGTTTAACTCGGAACACTTAAAATTTCGCGGTAACGGTGGGGTGGAGGTGGGGGGCGGGACAACAGTTACAGTGGTGTAGGGCTTAGCGCAGCATCGTCATGGGGCAGGACAGAGCTACAGCTACAGCGGTCCAGCTCCCTCCGCAAGTGCAATGCCCCGTGCAGTCACGCTGCTATGCATCGCTGTGGAATGGCCGGGCGGAGGGGGAAATGGGGGGGG